AAAACTGTCTTTTAATAAAGCAGGATAATTTAATTCGCAAATTATTTGGAAACGATTGAAAAGTCAAAACGCACAACGTATTTAGGTAGGTACCTACATAAACAGCAAATATAACGTAGATAAACAAAATAATTAGCACTTCAAAATTCCAAACAATGCGCAGAATCAAGTAAAATCATAGATAGTAAAATCGTATGCGAAATGTGACTTTCGACTGGTAGAGACCCACTCGAGTAAACGTACACGAACCAAATCGTGTACGGACCGTTCGAAAGTTATTCGAAAATACGGAACATCAATTTTCATGCGAATTTCGCCTTATTTCGTATACGAACGGCATTCGAATGGTTTCGAAAATACGACCCCTGAGGGTCAATTCTTGAATATTCTCGCATACGAAAGTTGATTCGAATTCGAATGACAGCAATGTAAATTGAATAGGGAACGTTCGAAATAATATCAATTTTCGTATGCGAGATTTTTCAAGAATTGGGCCCCTGGCCCTTGCTGCTTCCGAAGTGAATTTTATGTGTTTCTACGTATTTTTCATTGGTTTTGGTCATTGTTCTTTTCATAGTGAATTGTGAATTTTATAGTCTTTAGTATTTCTACGTATTTTTCAGTGTTCTGGCCCTTGTTTTCAAAGTGAATTTTATAGTGTTTCTACTGTTTCTACGTATTTTTTAATTTATTAATAAATTCTGAGATGGAGAATGAATATCTTAAGGTATTATTATTAAGGGAAAATCGAGCTTTTAGTTGCAGCAATCCATAAAGCCCTGCGTTGTTTTGATAATTCATATTTGTACCTAGATCAAAAGCCAATGATTTAAAATAGCAGGAACTTAATAAAATTTCACATTATCCCTGTTACCTCGACTTCCACACCCAATTACGATGCAAATCGCTGGCATTTTAATTAACACAATATAATACCTAAACACACAAAAAAAAACAAAATCCGATAATTCAAATCATTCAAATCTGCACGTTTGTCCAGAATGTGACAGAATCAATGACGTGTCAATGACATACAGAATAAACAACACAGTGCTTGACCCGAACTTCCATCTTGAATTTCGTTTTTGACAGGTCAGTAGATTGCCTAATACTGGGATAAGTTCAAGTAATACGTAAAGTATTGGTTTGCTCTTTGTCGAATTACACGTTACAAAGAAAGAAAGAACGATTGATTCTGAACTCGTCCCTGAATACGAATATAACGCAAACCCGTAACACTCGATTTTCATTGGACGCTCACCTGCAACCCACGAGTTGCGCGCGCACACCAGGGCTGCGTTCAAAAACAGCTAAAGCCGAGCCAAAATTGGCATATTGCGTTCAAGTTCGGCTCCAGCGTGCCAAAAACGGTTGGCTTTACACGTTCCAAATCGGCCGCGGTAAAGTAACTTTTGGAGGCTATTTCAACTGAGTCCAGAAATGGTTATACGAATTTTGATTGGATGAGACCAAATTCAATATGGCGTGGCGGCCAGGCAAGTTAGTTTTGAATATGGGTTTTCATGCATAATTCAATTATTTTGTTTGTTTGCAGCTTCGATTTTGATTATTCAATAAAATATCTGTTAACTAAGTACGTTAACTATTAAGTCGGGCAGAAACTAGATATTTTTTGTGTTTTTTGGTCCATTTATGGTCGCCACGCCATATTGAATGTCACGTGGTTTGGATTGCATATTGAGAAACGGTATTTGGCGTTCCAGCAAATTCACACCAGATTTGGCATCGCCGGTAGAAGGGGAATAGTAGGTTTTGGCATTAGCATTGCCGTCTTTGAACGCACTCCATATTACGAGACACGTCAATTATTCTAATGACAAGGAAAGTTAATTTTTAAATGTAAGTAGTAGTCAGTATGTTCCTAATGTCCACCTTTTAATTATTTATTTATTTATTCAATTTTTTACGTCTATTCTAGTGTCCCGAGGATGCAAATAAATTTTGCGAAACGTCGACAATTTAGAAAACAAACTTCCGTTGGTGTTTTTTTTTTCCGATCCTACCCCAATCAAAATAGAGCAAAATATCAATTTTTGGATCGACAACGCTCTAATTGGATTAACAAGAAAGTCAAAAGTTTGTTGTTATGTTGTCAGTAGAGTCTTGGTCAGTGCTCATCTTCTAGAAGTTATTCGTTTTCCTTTTTCAACTTATATATTGAAAAAAGAGAGAGGTATTCTGCAGTAATGTGGCTTGAATGGAAATAGGAAAGATATACTAGGGATGTCTCGGTTGTGTCCTCTCGTGAGCAGTAAGAGTACGATCGATAATCGGAAAGTCGTATTTAACAAATATCATTTCTTCGAATTCTTCGTTTTTAATTTTTTTTTTCACAATATTCGACTGATCTCTGAATTTCCCTACATTTTCACAATTTTCGAATCTTAGTGGAATTCCGAGGTATTTCATGAAATCCTATACTGTAATTCCGAAAAAAATTTGTCCAAGAATTTCATAAAATCTTCTAATGAAATGTTAAGGTATTTCTATGGAATTACTTAAAATTTTCGCGGAATTCCTATGGAATAACTTAAAATTTTAATGGAATTCCAAAGAACTTTGATGAAATCTTCAAGAGGTTAATCACTCTCCGAAATCGTGTCACAAATTCTTCCGAAATCCACTAAATCACTCCGAAATCCCTTCGGAATCTTTCAGAAATCTTTCCGTAAACCCAAAAATCCCTCGAAATTGGCTCAAAATTCATAAATCGGCCAACGCGGCCGTTTTTCAGTTTATACTGATACACTTTTGAATATACTTATAAGATAAGTAACAGTCTGAAATTAAATTAAAATATTTGCGAAATCACCTGAAATTCTCTGAAATCCTTCGAAATCACCCGAAATCTTTCGAAATCACCCGAAATCCTTCGAAATCAACCGAAATCCCTCAAAATCGCTCTAAATCTGAAATCTTGTCACAGTGAATAATCCCTCGAAAACTTTCCGAAATCCTATTTTTCACTAGAAAAAATTTGAAATTTTGGGAAAATGAGCCTTTAACCTTTTTCCTAACATGCAAAAAATTTCAAATTTTTGCCTTTGCTAGTTTTTTAAGAAAACATTGAATTATGTGAGACTGTGTTTTCAAATAATTCAGTTATTGTAGATTGATTTCCAAGATTTTTTATGTTGTTATTTTCTACTTGAAAAATTTGAAATTTTGGAAAAATGAGTTTCTCGCCTTCCTCTTTACATGCAAAAAGTTTTGAAAATTTTTTCCTCACTAGCTTTTCAGGAAAACTTTGAAATGTGTAAGACTGTATTTTCAATTAATTCATTTATTGGAGGTTGATTTCCAAGATTCTTCATGTTGTCATTTTCCACTAGAAAAATTTGAAATTTTGGGAAAATAAGCCTCTTGACCTTTTTCTTTACATACAAGAAGTTTCAAAATTTTCCCTTAATTAGTTTTCCCTCGAGTTTTCCAGGAAAACTTTGAATTGCGTAAGACTGTATTAACAAATAATTCAATTATTGCAGGTTAATTTCCAAGATTTTGAATGAGTCTCTAACTTTCCATTTCACATGCAAAAAGTTTCAAATTTTTCCGTTCACTAGTTTTCCAAGAAAACGTTGAAATGTGTGAGACTGTATTTCCAAATAATTCAGTTATTGCAGGTTAATTTCCAAGATTTTCCATGTTGTTATTTTTCACTGGAAAAATTTGAAATTTTGGGAAAATCAGCGTTTAACCTTTCTCCTCACATGCAAAAAGTTTCAAATTTTTGCCTTTACTAGTTTTCGATGAAAACTTTGAATTGTGTGAGACTGTATTTTCAATTAATTCAGTTATTGTAGGTTGATTTCCAAGATTCTTTATGTTGTTATTTTCCACTGGAAAAATTTGAAATTTTGAGAAAATAAGCTTCTAATCTTCCTCTTTATATGCAAAAAGTTTCAACTTTTCCCCCAATTAGTTTTCCAGGAAAACTTTGAAAGTGTGAGACTGTATTTTCCAAGAGGCAAAACCACCTTGGAATTCTTTGTTAAAAACTTGGGAAATTTATAGGGAATTCGGAAAAATTTATGGGGAATTTGGAGGATTGTGTTCGATGTTGGTCAAATTTCAAGGAATTCTCGTCGAATTACACCTACATGGAATTCCTTGAAATCTTATTGTGGAATTCCAGTGAAATTATATCGAAACCGAAAAATTCCCTCGGAATTAAACAGAATTTTCGTGGAATTTCCATGAAACCACGAAAAATTTTGGCGGAATTCCGAAAACTTGAATTAAATTTTAGTGAAATTCTGAGTAATTTCTGTCGAAATTTTATGAAATCTTTTACTGTAATTCCGAGGAATTTTTGTACAAGAATTCCATTCAATTTTATAGTGAAATTCGGCAAAGTATTATGAAATCTTATGATAAAATTTCTAGGACTTTCTGTTTTTCTATTCAAATTTGTTATTCGAATGGAATTTCGAGGATTTCCATTAAATCTTCAAGTGAAATTCTGAGGAATTTCTTTGGAATTAACAAAAATTTTTGCAGAATTGCCATGGAATATTTATCGTGAAGGCTCCCCTAAATTAGTTGGTAAAAACGCCATAAAAACCGTTTCTAAATTCCCTAAAATGATCCAAAATCACCTAAAATCTCATAAATCTAAAATCTTTTAAAATTACGTAAAATTTTTTAAAAATCCTCAAAATCCTACAAAATCAATAAAGATTCAATTATGTACACATTTTATGGAGTTAACTAAACTTCGAGCGGTTAATTGATGAAAATTTGTATAAAAGTTGGTCAAAATCCCAGAAAAACTTCTAAGATCTACTCAAAATCACTGAAAATCTTTAAAATCTTTTGACTTTTAGACTCCTCACTTGAAATAGTCACGAACCGCAACTGATAAGAATATTTTTCAGATTACATTTTAAATTCAAAAGTCAACAACTTGAATAAGAATTAGAAAAGCTCTAGTTCCTAGGAATAGAACGATTTTTGACCAGAAATTGGAAAAAACTTACTTGGTTTTCGCATCTTCGTCTAGAATTGGACGACAATTTTTCAGTAGTTACCAACAATATATCAACAACAGCCTCCGATTCGTTCCTTTCACTATAACTCGTTTTACTTTCAGATCTTGTGAGTAAACTGGAACTTTGAGTATTTTCTCCAATACTGTCGCTACGATTTTTCAATATTTTCTGCATGTTTTCCACTAGTTCCGAGGTGGTGTAAAGTTTTTCTTGAAACCTATCAAAACTAAACAAACAAATAGAATTAACCAATATAAGTGATAATATTACCTTTCTCTGGAATCTTTGTCCCAACTTCTTATTCTAACCAACCCTTGATCGTTATCTTTCAAAATGATCGCATAAGAAACTCCCAATTCCATCAACTGCTCTTGAACTTCAACAGTATTTGACGCTTCTATAAGGGAGCATCTAACTCCAGCCGCCCATAAACTTCTTAAAATCTATTTGATATAAATATGTATGTTACACTACAATAGGCATACAAATTTAGAAACATATTTTTTGTTTTTATCAAATTAATTCAAATGCATCAATTCTGATTTTTGAATTATATAATTTTGTGAATGACTTGGAGGTAATTTAAAAATATAAAAATTGGTACCTTAGTTTTCTCTTTAATAAGTTGCTTTGATCCCACAGAACAAACAATAGCATCTAACGCATCCAATCTAGGCATATCTTCGCTTTCTTCTTTTTGAACTGCTTGTACTAATTTGTCCAATGAAATCGATATACCCACTGCAGATTGTTGTATACCTTTAGGCAACATACTAGTTTGTTCCATAATGTTTCTGTAATACGAAATCATGGTATCGTATCGTCCGCCAAAGGCTACAACCTCTTTATTGTCATGTTTACGTTTCTTTTTCAGTTCGCAAGCAACCTGGCAAATCATTCCCGAAAATTGTTGGATATTGTAAACGAGCCCTGGGGCGATGACAAAATCAAAAGTCACTCCGTATATTTCGGCATTTTGTACTATAGTTTTCAATTCTTGCAGAGCTAGCTTAGCTAAGGCACTGGCTTCACCAGATTTTTTTTTCGTGACAGTTTGAAACTGATTGGTAGCTTTGCTGATTTCAATTTCGGAATTGATAAAGTTTATTAGTAAGTTGATCATGTTATCTGAAAGTCCTTTGTGTATTAGGAAGTTTTGGAGCTGGGATTTAGGGACTTTTCCATCCTAAACAAAATAAAAATAATCAGTAACTATTGGCTGTAATTAATGTCTAACAAATATACCTTTATATCTTGTAATAAATGTAATAATTCTTCATGCTTATCTTTCAATCCGCAGTGCAACAAAATGGCTCTAAAGAGTGCAGTATGGTTCAGCCTTATTAAAAAATGTTTGTTTTTCACTCCTGGTAACTCTTTAATTATTTCGTAAACCAAATAGAGGGTTTCAGCATCGGCCATCAAACTCCCTAGAATTAATATTGTTTAATGACAATTTGGATTACTACTTGAGATGATTCTTTTACCTTGATTTGGAGTGACAATATCAAAAGCACATTCGTAAAATTCTCTTGGCATAAACCCGAAAACTTTTTTTTCTTTATAAACTCTTTCAACAGAGTATCTTCTGAAAGAACTAATGTTATTCCAAGCTACATATCTAGCAAATGAAACCCTACAAATTGTATGCGTTACTATTTTATTTATATTTTTTTGAAATATGTGATAATGATAAAAACACCTTGCTTACTGAGTTCCTTAATCTCAATAATTTGAGACAGTTGAATAACATTAAAAATTTTAGGGACAGGTGCCTGGACCTGGTTTTGACGAACATGGAGATACCGCAAATCACTAGGTCTGTGCAGCCACTAGTTGCAGAGGACCCCTATCATCCTGCACTTGAATTTGGAGTTCCAACGAAGGATAAGTTGGTAAATTGTATATCCAAACAGTATGTATATGATTTCCCAAAAGGGGATTTTCTACTTCTATACAATCTTGTGAAAACCTGTGATTGGACTGAAGTACTTTCAATTACAGATGTAAATATGAGTCTCAATTTATTTTATAAAAAGGTGTATGGTCTTTTAGATAGAGCTATTCCAAAGAGACAAATCAAACATTCTTCCAGTAAAACCCGTTATCCACGGTGGTATTCCATAGATCTGATTCACAAAGTCAAGGAAAAGAATAAGCTTCATAAGCGTATATTGAGTAAGTGTGCTGATCCATCAGTGCAATTGCACTTTAGTGAATTAAGACAATGCATCAAGCTGCAGACCCAAGCAGAATACAACCTGTACAAGAATAATGTGGAACTTAACCTAAATTCAGATCCCAGTTCATTTTGGCAGTTTTTGCATGAAAAGAGCAAGAATCGAGGGATACCGGGGGAAATGAAATTTAATGAGAAATTGTACTCGGGTTCTGAGGATATAGCGATGGCTTTTGCTCAGCATTTTGAGTCAGTATATGAAAGACCCAAAGATGTAAGTAAATACATGGGGAATGTAAACGGATGTGATTTTAAATTTTCAGATGTGTCAGAGTTGAAAGTTGTAAATAGTATTAAAAGGTTGAAGCCTAAAAAATCGACAGGGCCTGATCAGATCCCTGCCTATATTTATAAAGGATTGGCTGAGTTCATAGCTCTACCGCTCAAACATATTTTCAATCTTTCTATTGGAAGTGGACAATTTCCTGATGCCTTGAAGAATGCTCAGATTACACCTATTTTCAAGAAAGGACGAAAGGACGAAATTAGGAACTATAGACCGATTTGCCTCATTAATATTTTAGCAAAAATTTTTGAAACAATACTTTATGATGATCTTTCAGACTTTCTAAAACCTAAAATTTCTAAATACCAGCATGGATTCTTAAATGATAAGTCAACAATAACAAACCTCTCTATATTCTCGGAAATGGCGGCTGAGGCGATCGCGAATAAGAGCCAGTTGGACGTCATTTACACAGATTGTGAGAAGGCTTTTGACAGGGTGGACCATGAGTTGCTGCTTTGCAAGCTTGCTGAGTTTGGGGTGTCAGAGGATGCTTACCATCTTGTGAGGTCATACCTAATAGGCAGGGTCCAGACAGTGAGGGTCGGCGCTTGCAACTCTGAGGCGTTTGTTGCAACCTCAGGTGTCCCGCAGGGTAGTAAACTGGGCCCTCTTTTCTTTTTGTGTTTCATCAATTCATTGCCTGACTGCCTGAGGGACTCTATGGGACTTCTCTTTGCTGATGACTTCAAGCTCTGTAGGATTGTTGAGCGGCAGGAGGACTGCAGAAGGCTTCAGGGTGACATGGATAGGGTGATGGACTGGTTCAACAACAACAGAATGTCCCTAAATGTTAATAAGTGTTCTGTTGTCAGCTTTACGAGACGAACAAACCCAATAGAAGAAACATACAAGATTGGTGATACTGAGCTTGATCGTCAAACAGAGGTGAAGGATTTGGGTGTCTTTTTCCAGGCCAACATGAAGTTCAATAAGCATTTTCATCATGCTGTCAATAAAGCAGTAAAAGCACTTGGCTTTGTAATCAGGAATAGTAAGAACTTTAAAATAAGTACAATTATTAACTTGTATAATGCTCTGGTGAGACCACACCTTGAATATGCATCACACATTTGGATGCCATTGGAAGCCACGCATATTAATGAAATTGAAAAAGTGCAGAAGAGATTTTTGCGGTATCTCTATGTGGTTAAAAATAATATTTACCCATATATGGTTCCTTACAGGGATATGCTTGTTAGTTTTGAGATAAAGTCATTAGTGGAAAGAAGGAATAATCAGGCTGTGATATTTTTGTTTTATATTTTAAACAACCTAAAGTATAAGGATTGTAATTTAATTAACTATGTCTCCTTAATTGTACCAAAGATTAACTTAAGAATTATGAAAAACAAGAAATACTTTGGTACTGATCCTAGTAATAATATGTCACCATTTAATCGCATGATGACAGTTGCGAACCAAGCACTTAATGAGGTCCAGGTAGATCTTTTTAATGTAACTTTCAATCAATTGAAGGCCCTTTTAAATTAGTCATATATGTTTATATTGTGTACTCTATCTTTATTTCTGTGTTTTACACTTCGCTGTTTTAACTTTACATGTAATTACTATTTTTGGTGTTTGTAAAGTAATGAAATAAATAAATAAATAAATAAATAAATAAATAAATAAATATATTAATTTATTATAAATTTACCTGAGATCGTGAGGCAATGACACAATATTACCAAAATGTGTCATCAGCTTCACACAAGATTCTGCATCCTCATAGTATTTACTTTTTGGCATTAATAAGGGGGTAGCTAAGTTTTGTGCACCATGTTGCTTGAATATCTGATAATAAAAATCGAATATTAGCTTGTTAAACTTCATTTTATCAAGATAAATACATTCTCACAAAGCCAAATTACCTTTACACAGGCTTCTCTTACAAACTCCAAAACATTCAACGGTTTTGAGCTTATAGGAACTATGGGGTCTCTGTCGTAGGTTATGTCTTGGGCTGGAGTGATTTTTTGCTTGAAGCAGGACGATATCAGATATCTATAGCCTGGAAGTAAAATGATATGTTAGGTAACATCAAAATAGCAGTAATCTATAATTGCAAAAACTGTTTTTTTCTACAAATCACTCTGTATCTCGGAAACTAATAGAAATTTGGCAACAACGGAAATATATTTTCAATAACCTTCGAAAATGGCAACTTTTTTTAAATTTAACTGCCATCGTATCTTTTACCGTTTCTGATACACCAATGGTGGCCCTTGGTATTTTAGACACCCTATATATCATTGAGTTTGAAATTAAGTCTTTTGGTACAGATGGATCTCGATTCTCATAGCATTAGAATAAACTTTAAATAAATATCCAGGAATCTTGTCATATAAATTTAGTATTATCTATTTTACTGTTGTCTTTAAAAAGATAAAGCCCTACTAACCTTTTAATTGAGGATTACTCAGAGTATGCCGAACCAACTCCTGCAATTCCCTTTCTTCCAAGACTGGCGGCGGCAAATGTTCAGATTGCAACAGTTCCTGCGAAGTTGGACGTTTCGAAATGTCATGATTCAACAACCACCTAAAAAAAGAAAATGTTCTAAACATGAATTTTTCAGAAAAAAAACAATTACCTGATTAAAAACTGAGCTCTTTCGTTTTTCTGACAAAACTCCTCAGGAAACGTTATATCTTTCATTCTAAGTTTGGTCAAAATTTTTATCCGTTCCATACCAGTTTCAAGCGGTTTGTAACACATTTCAAACAAAATAATCCCCAAACTATAAATATCGACTTTTTGATTGTAAAAACCTTTTGCAGCGGAATTGATTTCAGGTGCCACATAGAGAGCGGTGCCAACTTGTCCGGTTTTACTTTCATCCCCCAAGTCTTCGCGTAAACTTTCCGCTTGGCTTTTGGAAACACCAAAAACGTCGCCTTGTTTTGATCTAATGGCTATTGTAGTCGCCAGGCCAAAATCTCCTATTTTCACATGATCGAATGAGTCTAAGAAAATATTGACCGGTTTCAAATCTCTATGGATCATGCCTTGTTGATGAATATGAGTCAGACCTTCAACAATCTCTCTAAATAATCTCCAAACTCGATCTTCGTCCAAATATAGGTTTTCATCAATAGCAGTCCTTAGGGTGCTTTTCTCGCAAAATTCCATTTGAATATACAAAAATTCTTTTTGCTTTGGTATATTCTGAGGACTTTCTGATTTCAATTCATTACATTGGTTGTCTGTTGACAAAGTACAGTTTTTTGATGATGAAGATTCTTCGTCATCGTCATCTGAGCCTCTTGCAAATTCTATTCCATCTGAATCCGAATCTGAATCTTGATTGAATCGACTAAAAAAGTGCTAGTTTTATAAGTTTGTGAAACAATTACTAATAACTCACTTAGGAACTTTGAAAGAATCGTCTCCGTCACTGGAATCATCATCATCATCATCATCTGAAGATGCATTGTCATAAGCTATGGAAATTTCAACTTTTTTCATTGGAGGGGCCATTGCTTCAATATCATCATCAAATGAAAGCTAAAATTTAAGCAGGTTTGATTATTGAGGCAATCAAAAAATAGTTTCATAAAACTTACCTCATCTTTCCTCACAACTTCCATTGGTTTTCTAGGATGTTCAGATGTGGGAGTTGTGGTTGTGGCCCCACTGGAATCTGCATCAACGTTGCCTTCAACCGTTGCCGGTTCTATCCAAGAATTATAATATCGAACCACATTTTCATGATTCAATCTGGACAGCAAGGTAACTTCCCTGACAATTTTTTTGTTCAACGCTTTATTTTTGGGATTCAATTTGATACGTTTGATGGCATAATACCCTCCGTCTAGTTTATTTTTTACCTTTAAAACGTCACCAAAAGCTCCTTTACCCAAATTATCCAATATTTCAAATTCGTTTTCAATGCGTGCTGCTTGGCCAATGCCAATTGAGGTAGATAGAAAGGACGGATGTGTGATTTCTGGTGAAATGTTTCGTTCTATTGGAATATCTGGTCGAATTTGTTGAGGAGAGAAATGAACAATGGGTTTATGGAAGAAGGAATGGTTGAGGAGTTGATTAGCCGTTAAACGTTGCTCTTCATTTTCACATAGGCATCTACAAAAGAGAATTGGGAAATGCTCAGTTTGCATGAAAGCCAATACAGTATGTATGTTGAATTGTTGTACTTACTTTAATAACAAATCATACAAATCGCTTTGTATGTTAGTAGGTACTTCAATATTATCCTCATACCCTAATAAGCACAATATCAACTTCCCAAAATCAAAAATATCAGTCATCTTAGAGTAATTACAATGAGTATGAGTCGAGTGAGTTACTAAATCTAACAGTCTCCTTGGAATACTGTAATCAGACACTTTAATGATGCCTGAAATTTAAGTATTAACATTTATGAAAAGCTTGAAAGTAGCTCACCTTTTTCATTCACACTAACGCATTTATCGCTGAGATCCTTATGTACGGCCTTGTTGCGATGAATGTAGTCTATGGCCGTCAATGTGCCTTTGGCGAGATGCTTCAAGTAATCTATGTCGACTTTAAGATTTTGTATTGAGAACAGTGAGTTACATGTTGTGCCTAGAAAATAAATATTTTGAATTAATGAAAGATTATCCACTAAGGAATAAGACATGTGAAACTATAGAGTTGTCATAGTAGCAAAATGCAAAGACTTCATCCAAAAGTAATTTCATTAAAATTATATTTCTGCTCAGATGAAATAATGAAACATTATCCAAATTGACATTTTGACTGTATATTCATAAGAATATCGAAAAATAACTAAACAGACTGGTCAGAGTCATCTGCTCTGATCCAGTCATGAAACTTGAAAAGCAGGTTCATAAGAGTGAACCTGAGTTGGGAAGGTGGGATGATTCCATTCCTCGAACCTGAGTTGGGAAGGTGGGATGATTCCATTCCCGAGGAAAAATCCAGTCATCTCTAATAACAGAACTTTCTCCATGCATTTGCAATGGGTGCTTGTTAAGCTTATGGGCCTATAGTTTTCAGGAAGATGTTTATTGCCTTTCTTGTAAATAGGCACTACAATTGCATTCTTAGATTCTCTTGGTAGTTTGCCATGCCTAAGAAGATTGTTCATCATGGCTGAGAGAGGATATGACCAAGCTGCATCACACTTGTGAAAGAAAATGGCAGGGATTTCATCCTCTTCTGGATTAAAATCAGGCTTCAGTAATTTGAGTGCAGTCTCTAATTTCTTGGATGTCAAAGTTACAATTTCAAGTGAATTAGCACAGAATGTATGAGGATCCAAGTTGGGCACATGGCTTAGATCTTCCTGTAAAAACACTCAATTGTTTGGCAAATAAATTGGCAACTTCTTTCTCATCATTAAAGATGCAGTTAGTAATTAAATCCCTAAGTGAGAAATTTGTAAGTCTTGAACCAAGAGATCTATTTATGTAGGAATAAAACTGCTTATCAGAAGAAGCTAGCAATTCTTGTACATATTAGTTCCTTCTAGACTGTTTTATCTTGGCTTTGAGGAAGTTATTTTGGTTCCTGTAGTTCAAGTTTCCATTTTCAAAGTTGCTTTTCAATTTCTTGTACCATTTCTCTTTTGTTCAATGTGTCTAAATATTTTTTGAGTTAGCCAAGGCTTCTGGGGATTGACAATATTCAGTTTGCATGGAATGAAAGAGCTGATTGTAAATGACAGAATGCCCATGACCCGCTCATAGTTAGCAAAATCTCATCTTTTATATTTTATTTGTTAGGTTTGGAGTAAGCTGGATTTGGGATTTGGATGTTATGAGTACATGGTCACTTAGTCCAATTGGCGATTACTGTGATACCTACATTGAAAGGTATTGATTTCTTGTCCAATATAGTTTTGTCTCTTATCTTCCTCAAAATGGTGTCTTTCTGTTGCGTCTTATGTTTCCGAGGTGGTATGATATCCACCTGAATACCTAGTATATGATATGTCATATTAATGTTAAATTGGAGTCCGTTGTCAATAATAATAAAATATTGACCATTCCAGTATAATACGTCATGCTGGGAGGAAACCATTGAGGTGGCAACCGATCATTTCGTTGTCAAATTTAAAGTTTCCTATCAATGTTTCCTATTAATATACTCAACTTTTACCATATTCTTATTGTAAAGATCAGATATAAACTTGCATTTGACATCAACATGCTCTCAAGTTCTTCCATATCTTTCATCTGAAATTCTGTACTAACTACTTTCTAACAGTCTTTTAGTTTTGAAATATCGTTGCTTCAAATTTGTAGTAGAGACACTTTTCATTTGCACATCGAACCATTACAATATTTTTCAAAAATGAGTCCTATTTAAAGTTCCAAGCTCTTGGAACCTGTTTGAGCCCATAAAACGACTATTCCAACTTGTAAATTTTACTAGATTCATTTTCAAAACCATCTGGTAACTTAATGTACAAGTTCTCATTCAAAAATTCATGTGAAAATGCGTTTTCCACATCGATTTGGTGAGCTATTAAATTTTCTTGATCAACTATTGATAAAAGCTCTCGAACCGTTGTCAAACGTACTACCGTGGCATACGTCTCAGTATAATCATACCCTTTTCTTTGTAAAAATTCTCTAGCCAGAAGTCTAGTTTCATACCTAGTGACATCTCCATCTTCATCAAGTTTTATTTTAAAAATCCATTTTGCATCTACCGCTTTCGTGCCTGAATATTCTGTTTTAGACCAGGTATGGTTTTGATTTTAAGAAACAATAATTTCTTCTTGTACCGTTTCCAGCCACTGCTTAGCAGCATCTCTTCCTTATATGTTAGAAAAATCCTGTGGTACATTATCTACATAAGATTCTCCACTTAGTGCTATTTATTGCTACATAGTCTTCTAGAAATTTAGGCTGTGCTTCTATTCTGTTACTTGTCCTTACTGTTTCTTCCCCTTCTTCTTTTTCATCATCATGACTTTCATCTTGTAATCGCACATTTCTCAGTATTCTGTTGTTTTGACCGCTGTTGTGACTTCCAGGTATACTTTCCACATTTTTAGTACTGCTTTCCATTGTTTGGTAACTCTGATGTCTCATTACATGTCTTATCTTTGCTGTCTTCATCCGATACTACTTCAAAACTCTTAGTTATTCCCTCTCCTGAGGTTGCTGATGGGTGTGACTTTAGAGTAAATTATTAAGCTGTTCATTTGTTACATTTTACTTGCTCTACCTGCTTGAAAAATCAGGAAGATCTGCTAGGAGCTGCTAAATGAACGCCGCAGGGGCGTCGCGTCGGGGGGTAATGGGGGAATGGGGGTAATTACCCCCCCCCAGGATCCAATAATCAAGGGAAAAACCACGAGGCCCAAAAGAAAATGCATAATAATATTGAAGTTGCAAAAAATTTCGCCTGCGGCGCGTTAGCGAGGGGTCGCATCTTCCCATTACCCCCCCAGACTGCAAGCCACGCGTCGCCACTGGAACGCCGATCTGCTGCTGAGAAAGCCGACCAAAAATCAATTTTTTGATGTAACCTAAAATAGGAAAACCTGAAAATGTGAAATGTTTTTCCTCACTTTTCCATCCACATAAGCTGAGTAAGTAAATAAAAGTTTTGTTCCAACCAATGAACTATAACCAAAAACTGGAATTCGCACACATATTGACGAACGTGAAACCTAGTGCCGCTTGCCGCTACTGCGGAGGAGATGCCTGTTTTTTTCGCACTCACTACGTTAAATGGCAGAAATTGATTTCAACACGTATACCAATTAATAGAACCTGTGTAGGTAGATTTAACGGAACTTTCCAAAACGTAATATGTCAGCGAGCAACAAAAAAGAACAACATTTCCCCTTATTGGATTCACTTTGATCGACTGGAAAATGCTGTTCTAGAACGGTTTTCATTTCTGTCAGAACAGAGCTAAAGTTTCATTAAATTTGGCATCATTACCTTTATTAATTTAGTTTTTTCTACTACTCTACTTTACACAGTACTCAGAAGACGTTAAGTTCCACTTCATGCACTAGTGCGTAAAGTAGTTGACTTTTCGCCCTAGTGCGGGAAGTATTTGTCTAAATTTATTTTTTTATGCATATTTTATTGGTAATAGAAAAAATGTTACATAAATAGCTATTCTTTTGAACACTAAAGTCTGTTTCCACTTGGACAATAGCCAATCATGTCAATCAACATTCTCTAACCTACCTAATGAAGAACCTTGCAATATTTAAATGGATGTTACTCGTGATATTTGGATGAAATTTAAATATGTTTTTGGGGATGCCATAAGCAACATTTTTTACCATGGGCACAACCTTTTATACGCGACAGATGAGGCGGTGTTAGCAGTCAAATATTCCTTTATTTATCAAGCCTGCCGTAAGTTGCTCTACTTCTGGATGATATCGGGCGAGATATCGGGTCTTCAAAAAAGAAACCAATCAAAGATTGCTATGTTTTTTAAACGTATATGTATTAGTCATATTTTTCTTTAATTTTGTCAACGAAGTTTAATGTCAAAATGTCATGTCAAAAATCCTGACCAATAAAGAAACAATAATGCGACGTACGTTTTCGTAACCTAAGCAATCTTTGATTGTTTTTTTTTTTTGAACACCCGATATAACTGATATAAGATTCCAATATATGTCTAGGTTTTTCTTCAAACCATAATATTTAACATACATGCATTCAACAGCATTCATCCTGTTTTCTCCATAATGGTCCTATTCATTATTTCCCTCGTTATTTCCGCTAAATCATTCTGTTGTATTGTGTAGGCAATGGTGTACACCCATTGAATACCATTTTCGTGAAAGAAATTTCGAATTTCCTTAGACATATTCTGCACTATATAGTATCAAAAAACGATTTTTTTAAAAATTAAATAGAGCTGTGACCATTACAACATAATGCTTTGACATTGCAAAATACTTCAGCCCTTTTAACCAGCGTGTAACATGTAGTAAAATACAGTGCGGCCGTAAAGTAAGGAATAAATTGAATAATTATTCTTCCAAGCAATTTTTTTTTAAATCCTCGAACACGTCAATTTTATTTTTTGTCCAGTATTTTTTATAAAATAAAATAATTATACAGGGTGTTTTTACATTTTCGGATTTATGATAAATTTCTAAGTGTTTTTCATGAAACATGTCCTATACCTATCTTCAACTCAATTTAACATTCCTGTCTTAGATTTTCATATACTATCATTACACCAACTTTCAATTTATCCGGAGATTAAATTTAACTGGAAATTTTAATCATAGATTAAATTCAAAGTTGGTGTCAAATGATAGTGTATAAAAATCTAAGATAGGAATGTGAAATCGGTTTTCCTTTAAAATTAACCGTTTAAGTTTTACAGCCTGTCAAAGTTGCAAAAAGTCAATTTTCAACTGTCAATATTTCCAAAACAATTGAAGATAGGTATAGGACTTGTTTCATGAAAAACACGTAGAATTTTATCAGAAATCCGAAAATGTAAAAAAAATTTAGGGGTGTTCATTTAAAAAAATTAATTACTACCTGTCCAGCTTTTCTGCGACCACCCTGTATAATAATTATTATTTTATTTTATAAAAAATGCTCGACAAAAAATAAAATTGATGTGTTCGAGGATTTTTAAAAAAATTGCTTGGAAGAATAATTATTGAATTTATTCCTTACTTAACGGCCGCACTGTATGTATAGTGATTATAAAGAAAAGGTAACTTATTATTCCTCTCCTTCTCAATTTCAAATTATTATGAAAGCTGTTCAAACACTCTAGAATAATATTCTCAGCATCATTAGGGATCATAGTCAGTATATCATCCATATATAGGAACAAAAAAGGTACTACGAATGGTAATTGTAGCAAAACCGAAGGGATTAGCTCATTGATAACGATATTTGCAAAAATGGGTAAGGCTGGGTTACCCATTGCTGTTCCAAATATTTGTTAATATATAATATTTTCAAAAGAAAAATAACTGGAGTCAAAAATGAACATCACAGACTCCAAGAACAGTACCAGATCCATATTAGTGAAAGTGCAAATGGTGTCCCAATATTTTTCAATAAGGCTCAACACTAGTTGTTTAGGTATGTTGGTGAACAGTGATGTGACGTCTAGGGATACAAGAATGTAACCTTCAGGTACCTACTACAAAGTTCTTGAGTTTCTCAACAAAAACATAGGAGTTTTTAACTTCTACTGGAACGTGGAACTCAACTTGCCCAATATTTTAACTACAAAGCTAGAGATAATATATGTGGGTGACAATGTACAGGACACAACAGGACGTAGAAGTGCATTGGCCTTGTGAATCTTAGGTAAACCATACATTTTGGGTGAGACTGAGTTATCAGTTATGAATCTCTTAGCAGACTCAGAATCAATTATGCCTAATGAGATCATCCTATTGAATAACTGGTTGGATTTGTTCTCCAAAGTGCTTGTGGGGTTTTTGTTCAATTTCATGTAAGTATCAATGTCCAATAACAGTGTATTCATCTTATTAATATAATCAGTCTTATCAATAATAACTGTATAGTTTCCTTTATCAGATTTAGTGACAATGAGTTGTGGGTTATCCTTGAGACACCTTCTTGCTTTTTGATAATTTATGTCATGACTGATTTTGTTTGTATGCTTCAATCCATTAAAGTGATTAATTATTATATTGGTATAGTATTTTTTGAAACACTGCATTATACGAGGATATTTCAATATCACGTCACTCTCTTCTATTAATTTCATAGAAAATCTATCGTAAGTTTCCCTGTACAAAATATGAGCAGCGACGAAATATCGCTACAGTAGCCCAAAATAATAATTTAGGTCGGCACGCGCCTATAGGTTGAATTATTGGGGTGGGCTACTTACGTGTCCAGGTACCTGATTGACTAGACTACAGGACTTCTATAACCAGTGTCATTCCAATTTATATATTTTTTGCTGTTTTATTCCACGTATTATTTAGTTGTGTTGTTTAATATTGATTATTACCATTTAAAGAAATAAAAAATATGTGACGCTGATGTCTTATCTTTGTTTGATGTATGCCGACTAGATGTTTTTTTGGTGTTTCACTTGGGTTTAAAAATACTTTACATGTTGTTTTTATCTGTATTTTGTGGAAGATTCTGATTCTTTGTAGTACCTGAAGGTTACATTCTTGTATCCCTAGACGTCACATCACTATTCACCAACATACCTAAACAATTAGTGTTGATGAGCCTTATTGCAAAATATTGGGACACCATTTGCACTTTCACTAATATGGATCTGGTACTGTTCTTGGAGTTGGTAACGTTCATTTTTGACTCCAGTTATTTTTCTTTTGAAAATATTATATATAAACAAATATTTGGAACAGCAATGGGTAACCCAGCCTCACCTATTTTTGCAAATATCGTTATGAATGAGCTAATCTCTTCGGTTTTGCCACAATTACCATTCGTAATACTTTTTTTGTCCCTATATGTGGATGATATACGAACTATAATCAGAGCTGGGCAAGCTACTTGGAAAAAGTAGCTAACTACAAGCTACAAGCTACTTTAAATTGTAAGTAGCTAAGTTACTCAGTAGCTCAACTACCTCTTTGAAAAAGTAGCTAAGGTATTAGTAGCTTAACTACATTTTGAATTTTTGAAAGCTACTATTTGAGCTACTTTTTTCAAAGTTAAATTGATAAAAACAAAAAAGCGTGCACAATCGCCACCATCAATGTACATAGGTACCTTACCTAATTTAATTTCATAATATCATCATACGAAAATAACATATTAACTTTCTCTAAGAAGTATTCATATTTTTGTCAAAAACCACTGGACATTAATTCATTAGGTTCACTTTGATCACAGTGATCTGCGAATGCGAGAATAATAGGACACATAAAACATAGGTATCTTATTTTTGAAAACAATGTCGAATGGATGCTATTATATTATAGGTATAGTTATTTCATTTTTGAACTAGAAGAGTCCGCTGCGCATAAAACGTGATAAGTATTTTGGGCGTTAAGTATCGTTAACCACACCCTCGGGCGGTAAATGACACTTTCCGCCATTAATACCTAAATAACTATTAACTATCTACCAAAAGTAGCTTAAGTAGCTTGTTTTAGTAGCTAGCTACTTTCCACAGTAGCTTATGAATACTTGAAACACATTACCAATAGCTACAGCTACAAGCTACTTTTTTTTCAAAGTAGCTTGAATAAGTTATAAGCTACCAAAAAAGTAGCTAAGCTAGTAGCTTAACTACTTGGTAGCTAGCTACTGCCCAGCTCTGACTATAATCCGTAATGATGCTGAGAATATTATTTTAGATTGTTTCAACAGCTTTCATAATAATTTGAAATTTACAATTGAGAAGGAGAGGGATAATAAGTTACTTTTCCTTGATGTTTTGGTGATTAGAGAAACTAATAGACTAATAACTGATTGGTACCAAAAACCAATGGCATCAGGTACAATGATCAATTATAAGTCTGACCACAATATGACTCAAAAGATTGCTGTCATCAAATCGCTCAAGCATAGAGTAATTAATTTAGCTGATTCCCAATTCCATGAGTTGAATTTCAAAAGAGTCTTAGATCTGTGTAGGTCTAATAACTGTCCAGTTTCTCTAGTCAACACTATTTTATGTAGTACTCTTCCAACTGGTTTAAATAATATATAATATAAAGACTGTGAATAATTTATTTACTAGAGCAAAAGACATAGTCTTGTTGGGTGATAGGTCTAGCTTAGTAATTAGGGTCAATTGTTCAAATTGTGATAAAATTTATATAGGTGAGACAAAACAGAAATTGTCTAAGAGGTTGTACCAACATAGGTATGATTGTCGTATTCTTAACCAAGATAAAAGTGAGAAGACTGCATTGGCTACGCATCATTTTAATACAGGCCATATTTTCGATTTTGATAATGCAAGCATAGTTGCTAGAGAGGTCAATTGGCAAAGAAGAAAAATACTAGAAATGCTATACATTAACAAATTCAAAGATATCACAATTAATTTTAAAACTGAAACGTGTAACTTAAGTGCCATCTATTGGATTTTGTTGAGGGATTAGTGTTTCATGTTTTTATTAGGTGTTTCTGCAAAAATCACAAATCAATCAGAACAAATTTCATTGGTCGAAAACAGTCAGAAAACTAGTTTTAACCAATTAAATTCACTCTGACTGGTTTGTGATTTCTGCAGAAACAGACCTATCATTGTAAAAGTGTATCGCGGCTGGCCTATTTTGTTGATCACCACCTAGATGCAGACACCTATTCATTTATTTGAATTTAAATTTAAAATCGTTAATAACAGTAGTTTTATTCTTAGGTTAGTTAATTTTGTACCCTTGCCATAATTTTGTTTTTTGAGTGTTCCTAAGTACCTGAGTTGTTCTTTTTGTATTGTTCATGTTTTTAACTCTTTTGTTGTTCGTATGTTGCAACAACTCAGACGGTAAAATCCTACATACCTATATGTTTTACAATCAGCTTAGAATATGTTTTGAATACAAGGTAAATTTTGTTAATTTTATTTATTCAGTATTCATAACTCCCTAACTGTTTCTTAGCCCTGAAGATGCCTTTAAACAATAAAGGCGAAACTTCGGCGAGTATTTGATTGGCTTTTATTTTTTGTCCTTATCCAACTACTTACTTCTTCCTTGAATCTTGAAAAATGGTTATAGATCTGATGTGAAAAACTACAGAGCATATGCTCTGCTTTCATCTCAGATAATCCCAGAACAGCATGGATTTTTAAAAAGATGCCTTTAAACAATAAAGGCGAAACGTCGGCGAGTATTTGATTGGCTTTTTATTTTTTGTCCCTATCCGACTACTTCCTTCTTCCTTGAATCTATTGGAAGACACCAACTATTTTTACATTAAAAATGAAAATTTAAACAAAATCTCCCTTGACATCTGTGATTAAAATTAGAGTAATGTTTGTAATAATAAAATTACAAACATTTTATCTACAATAAAAATCAAACCACAAACTTAATGATGTTTACACTTGAAACAGGCACAAAAAATTGACATACTTTGCTACAATAATGTTAATTGGCATTTTATTATAGAACAGTTTTGACACAAAATGTTTACTCAAGAGGCGCTTAAATGCGCCACAAATATTTACATAATTTTTCATCTTTTACCGATTTGTTTGTGTGTTTTCGTTCAATAACTTGTGTCTATATTATGAAAACAACCAGAATTCCCGGTTTTGAAGGTTGTGAAAATTTTTCCATGATAATTATAAAAAAAAAAAACAACTCACCAGAAACAAATTCTTTCAGGACATAAACTACCACCCTATCACCAACAAAGTCATATTTGAATCCTAAATAATGCACCAAATTGATATGGCAAAATTTAAGCAAATAATTCAATTCTTGTTCAATACTGGCCACATTTTTCAAAATTTGGCTCGATTCATGACTTTTCACAGGTAAATTCCATTGAGATATTTCCACTAGTTCTCCAGTTTCAGTATCTATTCCTGTGAAGGTTACATTGTATGGATCATTATGACCTGGAAATAAATATTACTTATAATAACTGGCACTTTATATGTTAAAATTATCATTAATAACAAGTACCTATTACTAAAAATAGTATTGAAAAAATCTATTTTTAGACGACTCAATGCGTACAATTAATTTGAAATTAGTGTTCAGTGAAAAAAATCTGTACTTAGTTAAAAGGTCAAATTATTTAATGCAAACAAGTATGTGGCCATTAACTGATTTAGTCAACAAAAGACACATTTTAATGTGGAGGATATTCGTTCTACTTTACTTACTGAGACATTTTCCTCTTTGTACATTTCTCCCATTGAATTCCAGCATAACTGTGCCCTTGTGATCGCAACTTGATTCTTCGCTAGTTTCCGTTGTTGAGCTATTATTGTTCCTTCTGTTTGATAAAGATGATTTCCGATGAGTTTCTTCCTCGCATTCAATCTCGGTTATACTTCTTTGCCTTTCTCGTTGTAAACGAACTTCTGCTTTGAGCATTTCTTGTCGTTTTTGTACTTCTTTCATCATGTTTTCTCTCTAGAAAATTATTTATAAGGAAAAAGATTTGTTCAATAAATTAGCTATTACTTTTCTATCCACTTCAAGTTGCTTCTGCATTTCTTCCTCCTTCTTTTTTTCTTGTTGTTGTTGCAGCATTTCGTGATAAAAACTTTTCATGGCCGGTTTATTGTGCCTGTGCAGAAACTCCTCTACATGTTGGCACAACTGAAAAATCATTTCTTCGCCTTTGTAATCTTGAGCCTTTTCTTCCAGTTCATCTTTAAGCTGGAGTAGGAAGGTTTGGGAAATGCCTTTGCCATTTTCTAGTAAAATACTTGGTACTCTAAAATTATACCTGGATTAGAAAAATTGTTGAAAAAATTGAGTTTCTTAAAAAAAATAACTTAAATTAAAAATGTAAATGAAAAACACGTACTTATTAGGGTAGGTCTCTGAACAAATTATATGCAGATTCACTTTAACATAGACCTCTCGATTTCCAGAGCTGCCTCTCTGCGGCGTCAATGTAATAGACAAATCCAACGGGGTCCATTTGTTCCATGCGGCCTTTTTGCGCAAATCTTTTAGATCGTCGCCGTAAATTGCCTTAAAAATACAACTTAAAACTGAGCCAATTTGTGTTAATTTTATCAAATAGATTTTCACAGTGAATTTTCAATCAGAGGTTATAGGTACAACGTGCAAATAAATAAAAATGATGGCATTCTCATATTGACAAAAACAAGCTTCAATGCATATCTAGATTTTCATCAACTCCTACTTATAATAATAGTTAGTAGTATGACTTTATGATAAAAGAATTTCATATGGTATTACTTGTGTCTTACCACAAACTGTATTGATATACATAATTATTTTGCCAATAACATATCGAAGTATTTGTGGAAGATATCATTATTCTTGATAATTTTTCTTAAACTATCACACAATATCTCCTTAAATTCAATGTCATTATTACCAAAACCTATTTTCTCTTTTAGTGCAGTTCCTATACTCTCCTCACCAATGGTAGAAAAGTGATAATTTAAATTATTTACATTATCCTGACCCTACTCAAGAATTATATTATTATATTATTATTATTGATTTGGATTGTTTATTGAAAAAATTGTTTACCAATTGCCACTGCTTTTTAACATTTATTCTGCCCAGATCGACTCTGATTGAAAATACATGTTTTTAGCCATTTTAATTTTATTGTTTATCTGGTTTTTTAGTGCTTCAAACTCATTAGAAAATTGTAGGTAAATTGTTGGGAAATTTAATTTTTGTTTTATAAGCCCTATCACTTATTTTCATCAAATCCAACATGCCTTTATTTATCCAATCATTACTTTTTTTGACTCCTAGAGTAGTTATACATATATGAAGAATTATTATTGCAATCTGCAATTACTTCAATTCAGATTCACAAAAAAATGGTCATTGTTATATAAAGAAGGCTTATAGAAATAGTTAATTTTACATCATATTTACCTACACCAACATATACCCAAGGTGCTGTCCTCAGAAGAACATTCCAATATTTTGTATTTTATTGAGTTTTGAATGTGCAATGCGACAACTCCACCCCTACCTTTTTTGCAACAATGAGTTATAGCCGTCTATAGGTCTGTTTTCAGAGAAATCACAAACCATTCAGGACGTTTTTGATTGGTCCAAATCGCCAACAACCACTTTCCTGACTATTTTCAACCAATGAAATTCGCTCTGACTGGTTTGTGATTTCTGTGGAAACAGACCTAATTTCATACAAAAATGTATTCCTTTCATTTAGACAAGTTTCTGCAAAAGCAAAAAATATCACATTGCCTCTGTAATGATCCTTCTCAGGTAGATGCAATGAAAATCATGTAAAATTGTTATTAAACCACTTTTGAAAGCTTCTGAAAAATACCTCAAGTAATCAGAGGAAATTTAAACTTCCAGGATTTATTAAGTAGGATCCTCAGAAATGGAATTACGAATGTTTTCTCACTTAGATGCAAAAAACTTTATAACCAATTTGTGTTTACTTAATATAATGTACTTTCATTAAGAGGGGTGTTTAAGTAAAATGTCATTCACAGACCTTCACTAATAGAAGATTTCATTATGAATGACTTTGGCAGAAAGTCGACAAACAAAATCCCATAACCTATAAATAGCATTGTCAATGTTATTAATTTTTTTTTTTTTCAATTTTGGGCTTAAATTTAATAATTATGGCAGTTTTGGGAGAACGTGATATGTTTTATGGAGAGGCGATGAAGCGATGTGTGTTTGGTGATTGTAAAAGTGATAGTCGAACGAGTTCCATTAAATTAACGACCCCATTTGCCTCTACTGGAGTTTTAGGTAACACAGCACCTGTCACATCTCTTTCTGTTAATTTTCTCAAACGTTTTGCAACCAAAAAAGCCATAGCGAATGCACCGAATACTTACGAAAGCATAGATTTGACAAGATGTTGTGTTACCCTAAACTCCAGTGGAGGCAAATGGGGTAATTAATTTAATGGAACTCGTTCGACTATCACTTTTATAATCACCAAACAGAAACACACATCGCTTCATCGCCTTTCGATAAAACATATCACGTTCTCCCAAAACTGCCATAATTATTAAATTTATGGCCGGTTTATACAACATTTGCATAGTCGTAATCATATATAATATAATCATAGTCTTAGTCTTAGTCTTAATCATAATCACAATTTTAGAAGGCGTTTATACAATGTCATAAGCATAAAATAAAATCAACTCTAACCCGACTTTTTGTAGGGAGAGTTTGTTTACTTTTTGCAGTTTTTGCCAATCGAACTCTTGTATTTCGTCGGCATCATATGAAAATTGCCTAAGTCCAAAAAGGTAAATTTTACAGGAGGCGCAAAAAACCTTTGTGAAGAAAAACTACATGATACAAATCGTAACAAATCACCGGCAAAAATGCACAGAAAAGATTGGACTTACGCAAGTTTCACTCTGTCTTATGACGACGACGGACTTGTGCAAATTTCTTTTCATGGTTGTGTGGCTCTATCTAACAATTTATCTCCCAAATATTTTGTTGAATCATAGATTATTGAGTTTCTCACAAGACTGCACTAAAATCTTAATTTTGAAAAAAATTGGACTTAGGCAATTTTCATATGATGCCGACGATTTACTTTTTCAAAGTTTCAAAAAGTGTGGAAATTAAAATTCATACCATACAAGTGATAGGTCTGTCCTATTTATTTTTGAGGGCATTTTGCCACATTATTCAAAGACATGTGGAAACTTGATGGAGATAAATGTTTTAAATACTAGAATGACTCAAGATCAATTTAAATACACACAGAACTAAAATAGCAGATTTGAATTGTTTTTCTCTGTAACAGCTGATAATGGCGCTTGCGCAGTTTGGATCTCGTCTTAATCATAATCATAAAGTTAAAAGTTGCCAACTTTGAGTTATGCTTACGACTAAGACTATGATTATGATTATGACTATGCAAATGTTGTATAAACCAGCCATTAAGCCCAAAATTGAAAAAAAAAAAAAAAAATTAATAACATTGACAATGCTATTTATAGGTTATGTGACTTTGTTTGTCGACTTTCTGCCAAAGTCATTCATATCTTCTATTGAAGCATTTTTGGTTGCAAAATACGCATTCGAAATAGTAAAATTATTACCATTTTGTTGACAACAATATGCAAATTTTGGTCACGGATTTAAATGAAAAAAGGAATAAACATATAGAGTAGCACACCAACAATAAATGTCCAAAATTTCGGATAGTAAAATGCTGGAAAAAATGAATAGAACAGAATTTTCGAAAATTATAATGTTTGTATCACAAAATTAATCAAAATCTGCCAAACAACGAGGTGATTGCTGTCATTTTCAGCAAAGACTCAAATCAAACGTGTGTTCAGCGCTTCTCTAAAAGATGTCGCTGAGTGCGGGAAGGATAGTCACTTCCAGGCCCTGCGATCTCTCATTGCCAGTTATAAACCACATAATAACTCTTTTCCGTTTTTCTAGATGTCGCTGACAACCACAGAGTTGTCAAAATTGTAAAATACCAGCACATCAAGAACACGTCCGATGTCGATAACTGACATGTCAACATATGACAATGTGCCAAAATATTCATTTGATCATAACTAATAATAATAATTCATAATGTTTTTTGTTCGCCGGTCTTGCATTTCATCTTTCTTTGTGTTGTCAAGTGTTCTCAAGTGATTTCAAAGTGGTTTTTGTGTTTCAAGAAGAACTTCAAACTTTATAAATTGGATTATCTATTTTTATCTTTGTTGATTAGATAAATGACAGGTTCAATTAAACATCAATCAGAACTTTGAATAAATATGTTAAGGATACCCTTAACCATCGATAAAGAAACTGTCTTTTGATCTAATTAACAAATTATCATTTAATTTAAGCAAACATTAATGCCCCAAAGTCTAGAATAAACGAATTTGAACAGACCGATAGTAATGCGAACAGGGCGCCATCTATCATAAAAAGTCCTATGTAAAGTAGGTGTCTGTAGCATCGATGCAAAACCAGTAAATAGTGATTTTCCGATATGATAGATGGCGCTGGCTTGGCTCAATTTTGTTGACAACAAAATTTACACTGAGATTCCATTCTCGACAGTTTATATAGTATTTATTTACGACTAATAGAGAGTTATTGGAACTATTAAATACTGCCTCGCAGTATTAAGGATCTACGTTATTTTATTAGTGCATCAGCACTATTTTTCCAAGAAAAAAATAGTTATTGGAAGACTGTAGTAGGTGTTAGAGTATTACCTTATTTTGTATTCATAATTTTGACAGCTGATAACTATGTTTATAAATTTCAGCCTCAAAAAGTGTTTATTTTTGTTTGTGATTTTCTGCTGATACCCATTTTTTTATTTTACCCCCTGTAAAATGGAAAACTATTGTAAAAAATAAATTTTCCAAGTAAAATTACGTCATCATCGAAAAGCGAAACGTCAAACTCGTCCAAAATGTCAGAAATTTGAAATAAGGGAAGTTTACTGCCCCGCACTAACCATACATCAATAAAGACAAGCAGTAACCTTATTAAGGGAATCCTTATTTTCGGACCCAAATGCGCATGCGTAGATGTCAAAATAAGGCTAATTTAAATACTGCTTGTCCTTATTGCACGTCCAATAACTCTCTAATGTATAATGTGTGTATTATATTTGTGATTTTGGCAGTATAATGACATATGTTATTCCTCCAGGGATTAATGACGAGTAGCGGGATTAATGGTCATTATTCCACAAAAGTGTCAGTGTCAAACGTGTAGTGCTTGTGGATTTGTATTGAAAATTATGAGACGGATGAAATTTGTTCATTGAAAATCTCAAATAAATTAATTTGTCGTAAATAAAGTAGAGTATACTACTCGCAATAATGGCTATTATTCCCTCGGAATGTTACTCCCTCGCCGCTAACGCGGCTCAGTTCGTAATAATCCTCGGGAATAATAGCTATCATTATTGACTCGTGGTATAATCTACTATTATCTCTGGTCACTTCATTTAAACGTCAGAAAAAACTGTTTCACCTAGCTAAAAATGTGAAATACTA